TATATTACAGTTAAATATTTAATTTAATATAATAATTATGAAATGTAATTAATTAATTTCAGAAAAACCTGATTTTTGTAATTTTAAACTATTGGGCCTGATTTTTAATTTTGGAATAGTAAACACCTGACCCATGAATTTTTCCCTTAGAAATAGTGAAAATTACAGCCTACTAGAATTTTACATTCCAAAATTCAAATTTACAAGTTTTTATTTCAAAAATCGAATGATAATTAAAATATTAATAATTATATTGCAAATTTAAATAAACATATTCATTCTATACAACCATGCACGCCAAAATCGAGTGAATTGTCCAAATAATCACTGAACTTTACGTCATGCTTTCAAGGGGTCATTGAACTTTAAAAATCACTCAAGTCATCAATGAACTTTGTAAAAGGTTTTTACGAGGTCACTAAACTTTAAAAATCACATCACTCATTACTAAACTTTGCAAAAGGTTTTTACGGGATCACTAAACTTTGTAAAATATTTCCTAAGAGATCACCGAATTAGTGATCACTGGGAAACCTTTTACAAAGTTCAGTGATGAATTTGGTGATTTTTAAAGTTCAGTAATCTCGTGAAAATCTTTTGCAAAATTCAGTGATAACTTGGGTGATTTTGAAGTTCAGTGACCTCTTGAAAGCATCGCATAAAGTTTAGTGACTATTTGGACAATTCACTCCACCAAAACCCTATTCTCATTTTCTCTCCTCTCCTTATTCCACCTTCTTTCTAGTCATTCGCCGCCGCCACCATACCGTCGGCACCACCACTGCTGGTACCACCTCACCACAACCTACACACCCACAAAATAATCGCCAAACTCGCGATCCATCGATGCCATCATCACCACAAATCTACCATCTTCACCTCAACCATGAACACCATACCAAGCAGATCAAGAGAAACAAATGAGATGGGGAACACAAAAACTAATCGACGCGCACCTCCGACGACCCAGCAACTCACAACGTCGATGATGTCGAAATTTGCGAAAATTTGTGGGGAAATGACGGATCACTGGAGGCCACAATGACTCACAGGGTCGATGATGCCAAGATTTGGGAAAATTTGTGGGGATGTGACGGGATCCGAGGAAATGTCAGGATCTATTATAGCGATGAACGACGGAATCTGGGAAACTTGTGTCGCGCAGCGGTAGAACAATAACATCATGAGGTGGTGGTGATTTTTTTTTTGGGGGGGGAGGGGTGGTTTGTTGGTTGTGTTTGTTGTCGTCGTGGTGGTGGTGTCGGTGTCAGTGGTGGTGGTCGTCGCAGTGTCAGGTGGTGCAGCTTTTGTTGTAGATTTGTATTGTTGATTTTTTTGGGCTGCAATGGCAGCAGTTTTGTTGGATATTGTTGGTGGTACCATTGTGGATTGGGGTAGGTGGTTGGATTAAAGAGGGTTTGTGACCAATTATTTAAGATT